CGCTGTCCCCGTGTCCCCTGTGTGACGTGTCCCCATGTCCCCGTGTCCCCAGAACGGCATTGTCCCCAGTGTCCCCAATGTCCCCGCTGTCCCCATGTCCCCTGTGTGACGTGTCCCCATGTCCCCAGAATGGCATTGTCCCCAATGTCCCCGCTGTCCCCGTGTCCCCAGAACAGCATCGTCCCCAATGCCCCCATGTCCCCTGTGTGACGTGTCTCCGTGTCCCCTGTGTGACGTGTCCCCGTGTCCCCAGAACGGCATTGTCCCCAATGTCCCCAATGTCCCCGCTGTCCCCGTGTCCCCTGTGTGACGTGTCCCCGTGTCCCCAGAACGGCATTGTCCCCAATGTCCCCAATGTCCCCGCTGTCCCCGTGTCCCCTGTGTGACGTGTCCCCGTGTCCCTGTGTCCCCAGAACGGCATTGTCCCCATCGTGGAGCCCGAGATCCTGCCGGACGGTGACCACGACCTCAAGACGTGCCAGTACGTCACCGAGAAGGTCAGCGCCACCCCCCGCGTGTCCCCGAGTGTCCCCTGGGCTCCTGAGCCCTCGCTTGGGGGGGTGACACCGGCAGGTGGCACCTGGAGAGGCTTTGGTGACATCTGGGGGGGGGTTGGTGGCATCTGGGTGGCCTCCAGGTGTCCCCAACCCATCCTGGTGTCACCTCCCGGTGTCCCCAACCCCTTCCGGTGTCACCTCCCGGTGTCCCCAACCCATCCTGGTGTCACCTCCCGGTGTCCCCCAGGGTTTGGTGGGACAAGGTGACACCGAGAGGTGACACCTGAGGGGGTTTGGTGGAACCTGGGTGGCTTTGAGTCCCCTCCCGGTGTCCCCAAGCTGTCCTGGTGTCACCTCCTGCTGTCCTGTGGTCATTGGTGACACCAAGAGGTGACACCTGAGAGGGTTTGGTGGCACCTGAGGGGCGTTGGTGGCACCTGGCCTGTCCCCAATGTCCCCAATGTCCCCAGGTCCTGGCAGCTGTGTACAAAGCCCTCAGTGACACCACGTGTCCCCGATGTCCCCAATGATGTCCCCATGATGTCCCCAATGTCCCCATGATGTCCCCAATGTCCCCACTGTCCCCAGGTGCTGGCAGCCGTGTACAAGGCCCTCAGTGACCACCACGTGTACCTGGAGGGGACACTGCTGAAGCCCAACATGGTGACAGCGGGACACGCCTGTGCCACCAAGTACAGCCCCGAGGAGATCGCCATGGCAACCGTCACTGCCCTGCGCAGGACGGTGCCACCCGCCGTGCCAGGTCAGTGTCATTGTCACTGTGTGTCACTGTGTGCCATGGCCGCCGTGACTGTCCCACTGTGCCCTGCCTGTCCCAGTGTCCCCAGGCTGATGTCCCCAGCAGGGGTCACGTTCCTGTCAGGGTCAGAGCGAGGAGGAGCTGTCACTGTCCCTCAACGCCATCACCTGCTGTCCCCAGTGTCCCTGAGCCATCCCAGTGTCCCCAGGCTGTGTCACAGTGATGTCCCCATGTCCCCAGCAGGGGTCACGTTCCTGTCAGGGTCAGAGCGAGGAGGAGCTGTCACTGTCCCTCAACGCCATCACCCGCTGTCCCCAGTGTCCCTGAGCCATCCCAGTGTCCCCAGGCTGTGTCACTGTCCCCAGGCTGTGTCACTGTCCCCAGGCTGTGTCACAGTGATGTCCCCATGTCCCCAGCAGGGGTCACGTTCCTGTCAGGGTCAGAGCGAGGAGGAGCTGTCACTGTCCCTCAACGCCATCACCCAGTGTCCCCAGTGTCCCTGTGCCATTCCCGTGTCCCTGAGCCATCCCAGTGTCCCCAGGCTGATGTCACAGTGTCCCCTCGATGTCCCCAGCAGGGGTCACGTTCCTGTCAGGGTCAGAGCGAGGAGGAGCTGTCACTGTCCCTCAACGCCATCACCCAGTGTCCCCAGTGTCCCTGTGCCATTCCCGTGTCCCTGAGCCATCCCAGTGTCCCCAGGCTGATGTCACAGTGTCCCCTCGATGTCCCCAGCAGGGGTCACGTTCCTGTCAGGGTCAGAGCGAGGAGGAGCTGTCACTGTCCCTCAACGCCATCACCC